TTTTAGTTACCGAATCAGCGCTTTTAGTTATCGAATCAGCGCTTTTAGTTATCGAATCATAGTTACCGAATCAGACCGTTTGGTTACCGAATCAGACGTCGACCTTGATGGTCGCACAGAGGGCAATTTCGGAGGGCGAGCCCAGAGCCTGGTGGGGGAGAACGAAAAGAACAGGCGTCAGCTTGGGATTGAACATGTTTGGTCTTGTGATGCAAGTGATGTAATTGACGGCGAAGAGTGCATCATTAGCATTATGAGGGGCTTACGAGGCAATGTAAGCCGTCTTCTAACAGGGGTGGGATGTCATGTCGACGATAGAGGACAGCGGGCCCGAAAAGTGATTGAACCGCCTCCAGGAAAGGGAGATGTGCATCTCTGGTGCCCATTGAAGTAGTGTTCGACCAGGGGTGAAAGGGAGGTTTGTGTCTCTTAAGACACTGTTGTCTTGTGGAAATGATGTGATCTGTGAGGGCAGGAGAGGGAACAGAGTGCGGTGGGCTAGCTTTGGGGGGCGGCGCACTAGCCATGCGCAAAAGGGCAAACCATACAGGGTGGGAGTTGATGTGGAGGACTGGCGTAGCGGAGGAGGACGTGGTTGGACAAGAAATATTGAGTTTCTTGGGGTGCCCTTTCTTTACGGTGAAGACGCCCCTTAACCATACGCAAAAGGGCACCCCATATGGGGCGCGAGCTCATGTGGTGGATAGGCATAGCGGAGGGGGCGTGACGCGGTCACTTGATCTTGGCTCTAACTGACGTCGAGGTGCCCCTTTCTCTCTTCCAAGCGCCCCTTCATCCACAAGAACAAAAGCACTCCGCCCCCCCCCACCTGTGACTGAAGGCCTATGTGTGGAACTGAACTGTCACTTGAAGTGGGCGTTGTTTCATCTCACCTGACCACTGCTCCATCTCCCGACTATCCTCACGGTGGAGCTTCTGATCCTTGCTTTATCTGGGTTTCATGGTGGCGACTTTTGTTTTCTCACTCCTCAAGTTTCTGATTTATGTTATTCTTTTGATTGACACCCGTGGAAAATACAGGTTCTTCACGAATGCGCAGCAAAGAGTTCTCGTTTAACTTGGGGCTTTGGGGGTGAGAGTGCTAGGACCTTTCTTCTCATCGACCTACGCTAGCAATGACGTGAAGCTGCGGCGCAGTCTCAAGTGAAACATTCTTCAGGCTACACGCATCTACGGCAGTTAAACTACTTCAGCCACATCCCTGTAACCTATTTTGGTGTGCGTATGTGTGTGTGCCCCTTGTAGTCACAGGGATCCAGTCGGATTGTGCTAATTTTTTCTTTTTTCGTTTTTCAGCAGGGGGCCCTTCCCCTTCCCCTCCCCCTTTCTTTCTTTGCTTTTGGTGCTTTCCTGAATGGAATACTCAGGATCACCCCTTTCTTTCTATGGTGTGTCCCTGGACGATTGTTCGTAGCTGGGAACACCTGCCTTTTTTCTTTTCTCTCCTCTCCCTTTCTCTCCCTCTCTCTTTCTTTCTCTTTCTTTCCTCTCTTCACCTTCCTTCCTCCTTGGGTGTCCCTGGATGCTTTTGTCATAGCTGGGAACCCTTCTCCTCTTTTCCTTTGGTGTGTCCTTGGACGCATACGTCGTAGCTGGGAACACCTTCCTTTCTTCTCTTTCCTTTTTCTCGTCTCTCCCTACCCCTCCCTCCTGTCGGGACCTTAGCTTGGGTTGCTACTAGGGGCTCCTGGCCTTCCTACTAGATGCCAGGTTGCTACTTTGACGCTACTAGACATTCCTGGCCTTACTACTGCTTTGTCCGCGCCTATCGTGGATGTACGTCTTATTGACGTACTGAGTAGCGCACATGAGAATTGGACTCTACGAATGGCCGATTGGTTCAGTTTGAGGGATTCCGGATTCGTCCAGAGGCCTCCCTTTGGGGAGGCGTGTGTGTGTGTGTGTGCCCCTTGTAGTCACAGGGATCCAGTCGGATTGTGCTAGTTTTTTCTTTTTTTCGTTTTGCAGCAGGGGGCCACCGGGGCCCCAGAGGAGCGGTGGCCAACGAAGACCTCCTCTGGGGTCCGCGCAAACGTACCTGCCAAACTGGTTACCTGTTGTTCTCGCTGTGGTTTGCTTTCATGGTGGTTCATGTGGTTTTGTTACTAATCGCTACTCGCGTTTCGTGTTTTGAGTCTTGCTGGCCTCCAACCTTGCAGTCAGGGCCTCCACTTACTGACACCTGTCCTGGTTCCTTAGGTTTTTGACTCAGGCCGGCGTGTGACACCGCTGTCGAGTCAGTACGCATATCCATAAGTGTGTGTTGGTGTTGAAACTCAAGGTCATTTGGGGCCTATTCAGTTTCCGTTTTCAGCGAGACGCTCTTCCATATGTGCAGCAACTCTTTGAGCAAATGCGGGGTTTCTGCCAGCATTCTTCGCGTGATGCTGTGTGTTCGCGAGCGCTGGCAACCGTTTCGGTAGCATCTCTATGGCCCTACTTTTGTGGGAATCTTTTGGAGGAGGTCTTGGATGGATTCACGATTTGTCCGATTCGTTTGTAAAAACATGAACACCTGACTTCTCAAAGTGCATCATACCATTTGGCTGCGCAGGTGCAGCGTTTTGTGAGCTGGGCGCACGATAAACCTGTGTTTTTGTGACCAGCAAGGTGTTGAAACCATTCCAAATGTGTTTTGTGTTGCAATTTTTACTAAAGGCACGAAGGTGTGGAGAATTGTCACTCTTCGTAGGAGGGGCAAAGCACTTTGAAAAGGTTGCTTCGAACCAAGTTTTGTGGCATGCACAGGGAGTCATGATGTTGCGACGTTTGGCGGAGGGCAGGCGAAGAGAGTGGGAGCGTTGCGAGTCTGGCGGAGGTGCTGTGCCATTGGGAAGGTGCGCGTCAGCGGACGGTTTTTGGAGGTGCTTGGACTGCCAAATTGCTTGGCAGGTTGATGTGTGCGCTCTGAATGGGGCTTCCCAATTCACTTTTGGAGGAGGTCTGGTACAAAATTACACAAAATTGCCTTTTTGGAGACACCTCGCCATACGAAATGCTTGTGCTGGAAACCCGAAGCTTCCTGTCTCACTTTCATGGGAAGACATCTCGCACGAAATGCTGGTGTTGGAGACTTCCCATCTCATTTCTGGAGGAAGTCTCGCGTGCAGTGCTTGTCTTGAGGATTTAGCGTCTCACTTCTGGAAGAAGTTTCGGACGAAGCGTTTGTCTTGGAGGAAGGCTTGTGCTGAAGGAAGTTTTGTCCCAGAGTTTTTCAGCACAAGTGTCCTACAAAAAAAGGAGTGTTTCACGAGCATTCTGATTTAGATCTTTCAGGCCGCGGCAAGGAATCCTGAATCAGGCTGCTGCCACAAATCCTCGACAGAGTCGGTTGCTGTGGTTGTGTAGGGATTCAAGACACATGCTCAAGTCAGCCAATGATCAAACCACAACCATCACGAAGCCACACTGGAGCATGCACATGGATTAGTATCAGCGCTTTGGGGAACCGTCACTTGGTGGAGTGGATCATACGGCGTCCCATGGTGAACTCAGTCAAGAAACATACCAATTCCTTCGTTTCCTGGTCATTGTTGGATGTGCGTCCACATGCTGGAATACAGTTTTCTGAGGCGTTCAAGTAAGATTAAACGATAGAAACAAACATAGTTTTATCGCTGCGTCCTGATGGTGATCTACATGTTTTTGCATTGACTTGTTTGACTTCCTGAATGCGCGGCGTCTCATGTGGAACTGGCGTGGCTTTTGAAATTGCTTTGACTTCTGCGGGCCGGTGTAGAGTCACTAGAGTGTTCCACAGGAGTCACACAGAAGTCTCCTAGAGGAGTCCCGGGCAAGAGTGTCAAGCAAAAGTATCACGCAAGAGTGCCCATAATATCCCACACTAGTTACAAGAGCGTTCTCGAAGACGGTCGCAGATGAGCGTTCTTCTAGAGTGTCACACAGCCCGGGATATTCAAATTGTCATACTTTCGAGTTCGTGGGTTCAATCTTGTGGATTTTCTTCGTCGGGTACCCGGAACCTCCGTAAGCCGGCACTTCTATTATTCTTTGCTGAGAATTGTAGGTGCAAACGAAGAACAGATTGACATAGACCGAAACCAAAAACCGAACACCGTCCTGGGCGACTGCCCTGCGAGCCAAGATGTTCAAAGTGCCTGCTCCAATGCACTTTTGCTCCGTTGAGTTTTTCTTGCTTGATGAGGTGCGACATGGCAGTTTTGATACATGTTCATGCATTTTAAAACCTGATTTTCCTCTTGACAAGTGCACGTGCAGGTTGACGTGTGATGTGTTTGCAGGACATTTTCACTGACAATGATGAAATCTACGAGTCCAAAGCAGCTCATGGCACCGTTGCCATTGCCAAGCAGCTTTTAGCGATTGTTTGTAAGTTGGATTTCATGTGATGAGCCAAGCAAAGCGTCAATGGTCTGAACCATTTGCATTTGATTTCTTGCGGAGCTCCAACCCATTCCAAAGAATAGGCCGTGCAGAGTGCAGACAGAACAATTCAATCCCTGCGTGGGCGAACCCATGGTTCACCAAGAGATGCGAACTAAAACTATCCCTCAGGCACCTCGCTCGGACCCCTTTCTCAGATGTCGGTGTTGAGGAGGCTTGAGCAGATCTCCTCTTTTTGCTTTGCAAGCTTGCCAGGTCGTACCCATGGATGCATTAATCATGAAGGCGCACGAGCCCTAGCTGTTCCTTGGAATCCGTGTGATTGTGGATACATCATGACAAACTTGTTCGTATTGTCCGTATTGTGATGCATTGGGTGTACACGTCTCAGGTATCACAGGTACAACAAGGGCCATGTGGTTCGGCAAAAAGTGCAGCATGAGGCCAGGACGAAAACAGCATGCACACAGCATGACTTACTTGCTTCCTGCAGTAGGTGTGGTTTGAAACACCTTCTCTGAGAAAAAGATCAGAGGATGATCAGGTGGGATACTTGTGTAATGTGTCAAAGTGCTGGGCATTTTGAGTTTGAATACGCACTATCAAAGCTAGAACGGTTATTCTATACAACACAATTGAAAAACACCCTCATGTTCCTGTTTGAAGGTAGCTGCAAGCGCTGAACAATAGCACCAACATTGGAGTCATTGTAGTCATAGACGTAGACACACACATATATATATATATATGGTACCGCCCCCAAAACCCACCCAAAGTCCCAAAGTCATATTTCACTGATATTTACAGTAAAAATTGCATATTTGGGGCACCATTTTTTCTTAGTAATAAGGGTTGTGAATATACATTAAACACATATTTTATATAAATTTCACATATGTTTGTAAATTATAAAATAAAACAAACGATAAATTGCATACTCAGCCCCCACCGCAGCCTTAGCCTGAGGAGATGAAGATGAATCATATGAAGAAACTATTAAACTAAATTAAGTAATATATAAAATAGTATCCATACGCAATAAAGTAGGCTCACTGCGAACATTTACTAATCACAGACTGCCAAAACCAAAAAACCAAAAAAAAAACTCTGAGGAGAATCTTTGGTTTCCGCCTGAAAGATGTTATTCTTTTTTGTTTTCATTGAGTTATTTTTTTTTGGTTTCATTCATCAAAAAAACAAAAAAACACAAGCTTTGTTTTTTGTTTTTGCTTTGGTCTATACAATCACCAATGCCCAAAAACCAAAAAAACACAAGTTTTTGTTTTTTTTTTCAAAAAAATATGCAACAACCAAAAAAAACTGGTGTTTTCTTGTTTTTTTGTGATTCCAGGTTGCATAGACCAAAGCAAAAAACCAAACAACTTGTGTTTTTTTGATGAATGAAACCAACAAAAGCCAACAAAAACTCAATGAACACCAAAAAAAACCATCTTTCAGGCTGAAACCACAGATTCTCCTCAGAGTTTTGTTTTTTGTTTTTTGGTTTTCATGTTGTTTTGGGTTTGGCTCTAAGCTTGACTTACTACTATCACCGCAGCCTTTTTTCCAACACAGAGTTTTAGTACATAACACACCAAACTTTGCTTTTTCCGAGGCATATATATAAAGTTCTAGATATGTAATTATCAATTTTGATATTTCTAGTGAATATTTACAACGCTGCTTAATTTTATTCTCTTTAACAACTGGGTATTTAGCATCATCAATAATTCTATTTCCCATATCATCTATTGCTGTTATGTAAGCGTCATGTTCAGATAGCGTCATAATGTATATAATTAGATATTGCTTTAACACCATCTAATTATATAGTGCTTGGGGGAACACTAAAACGAATTCAACTTGGCAAATCAAACGAGGTAGGGCAGATCCATTACTGAAACCAAACTAATTAACAACTTATGTGGATTAGCGTAACCTCACCTATACCGCACTCTGTCCATGGGAGTCCTGCTAATAACTAAAAATATGTTATTTTTCTATGTAATTTTATAGATGAATAATACAAGTGTTCCTATAATTGAACCTATCAATGTAATTTTTCCGATAATTGATGTATATAGTTTATAATTGTTCCTATAATTGTTCCTATAATTGATGTAGTTTATACATGATCTGATCAGATTTTCTTTTTTCTATATCTTCAATTTTCTTCACCAGTTGTTTGATTGCTTTCATTTGAAGGGTGTCAATCTTATTGCAGATCCAGTGGTGCAAGGTGTTTTTTTTTTTTGGGGGGGGGGTAGATATATATATATATATGTATATATATATATATATGTTGCCCGTTCGACAAGTTCAATATCATCATTGGGTGCAATCTCAAAACAAGATGCAAGCCTAAATTTGGTGCGAGTGATGCACCTTAGCATTTCAAAGAGTGTCCAGATTCTGCATTTTGGAGGCTCCATTGGATGAAGACCCCGAGCTTGCCAGGGCCAGGGCGGATGTCAGAAGGCGGACTTTTGCCCAAAAAGGAGGGCTGAGCCCCCTTTTTGATTTTCCATCGTTCAAGCAAGTTATTTGAGACTTGAGCTGACGTCAGGCAGCACCTAAGTGAGAGAAATTGGTCTGAATGCTTCCATTCCTTGGGTCAGCAATATTTCATAATATTTCATGATATTTCTCTCATAGGACGAGAGCATTGATGTTCTCGATTCTCGATGCCACAATATATATGCAGACCTGTCAGGAAGGGAACTCCAGTGCAGTTGAACTTGAAGCTGTGGTTTGTCCTGATACCGCTCCTTCAGAACCAACTTACAACACATTTTTGGCGCAGGTGTTGCCGATGCTGCAGATGTTGCAAATGCTGGAACAAATGCTGGCGCAAGATTTGCCGATGCTGCACGGCAGTATGCTGCTTTTGGTGCCCGACAATTATGCAAAAGGACGTCACCCCTGCAGTTCTCAAGTTGGAGGCTGCCGCGGAGGGTTAAGTTTGATTGACACAACGTGCCAAGTCTTCACGCCCAGACTTTGTACCCCTCAAAGACTAGTGGAGTCTGGCAATTCTGTCACCCCCAAACCAACGCGCGGTTGACTTAGACTGGCTTAGAAAGCAGGTGTAACATCTGGACTTGTGAGATGAAGGCAAACAGGCGGAATGAACGACTTAGTGAACAAGAAACGTCAATCAGCCACCCATGGATATGAGGGTGTCGTAGAGACTAGAGAAAAAGAAACAGATTAGTGGCTTTGCTCAGTGAGTAGATTGTGGTTTCAGATCAATCATCAGACACTATTGACATGTGCTCGGTGGACGGCTGCCTATCGCTTACGCTGCGGTGCGGAGGTGGAAATACTTTCACTTGAAGAGGCAGCTGAAGACCCATTGGCCAGGGCCGGGCGCGTTGCGTGAAAAGCACATCATATAAGAGCAAAGCAGAAAAAGCGATGAAAGGACAAAAAATAACGATCTACAGACTCTACAGTTCTGAAACAGGAAGGAAGGAAGGAAAGAAAGACAGAAAGAAAAGAACAGAATAGAAGAGAGAAGAAAAAGGAGACGAGAAGAACATACAATTGCGGCTTCTTTACATAGGAGTCTGGACGCTTTGCGGAGCCAACGGAGCGGTTGGATTGGACATGTGCCATCACCGCACCTAAAAAGTCTTGTCCTTAGACCTCTCAATCAGCTGGGGTGACTCAATTGATGACGATTCTGCGTTCTCATTTGCAAAGCCCAGGTTTTTCTTCAACTACATTGGGCCCTCAAACTACTACTTGCTCAGACGGACGCTTGGGTGTTGACCATTCTTGGAAAGACCTTAAAAGCCTTTCCAAGCTGTTCCTTCGCATGAGTGTCGAAGGAAGCAGCCGAGCCTACTTAGTAAATGACGGGTCTGAAAAGGCTGGCGAATTGCTGCCGAGATACTGATGTCAGGTCAAATTTTGTTCTTTAAGGACAGTGTACTGCACCACAACCCTGGTGTGCATGCTTCTTGTGCTGGTCAGTTTCTGAGTGCTCGGAATGTGCTTGGAGTCCAAAGATGTCTATATATATAAAATACTTGCCGCAGTTCCAAGCCTTGCGTCCGCATTTGCTTACACTAAGGGTGTGGTATACTTGCTCTTGCAGATCCTTATGCCATCTCTTGAGCTGAAAGCAAAAATTGACGCGATGTAGCTCCTTCATAGCAGATTCGGAGATTTCCACACTGACCAGTTGCATGTGCAATGCAGCATGTTAGTGTGGCAAGAAAGCAAGACCAGTGGTTGAACGGCAATTGCAGAGGTTGCCTGTAGGCCCTATTGTTCGACATCAGCATGTTTTGTTCGTTAGTTTTCTTTTCATTTGCAAAGTGTGCAAGCAGTTGCCAAGAACTCATGAAAGTCATTGATGATTCATTGCTTGTGGAACCGTTGGTCCAACTTTGTGCAACGGCATGATATATACTGTATATATGTGAATTTGTATGCATTGGAACATGCATATCATGATATGAGATGGCGGCCCTCTCATGTGACCATTTTGGCACAAGGGCCCTTGAGTCTGGCTCATCCGAGCCCCCGACGGTTGCGCAATGGAAAAGTGAGCGCACCGCTTGCTTTTGATCGCGACGGAGTTCTTTGATCCCCGTTGGTTATGTTGTGACAGTTGCCTTTACAAGTTGCTGTTGATCCTCCGCTCACCATTTTACAATATATATATATATATCTTAATCTCGAATATGCATCTATGCAGCTGTTGCACTACTATGAAGCGAACAGACCAAGCCAAACTGAGATCATTTACAGACCTGAGCAAGGTCACATTCGACGTGGAAAATGTCGTTTTGTTGCATTGCAAGAAAGGTTGTGCATTGGCAAGAGTATTGCATGGTTTGTATGAATGGATGGTTGTATGACTTCGTGTGAGTAGTGTTAAGGTTGTTTCAGAGGCAGCTTGTTTGGATTCTTTTGATTCTGTGGAAGGGCTGCAACTCCAGTAGAACAATAAGAGAGCCAGAAAGAAACGTAACCAGTGTTTGTGACTTGCGATACTTCCGACTATGTTGGAGAGCCAGGCTTACTGTAGGAAACAACGTTTTGGTGTGTGTTTCTTGAATTACTCACACGGTGGAGCATTATAATTATGGCCATTCGAACGCGTGCCTGAAATGATAGTTCGAACGATGCCTGCGCGATATTAACTAACGAAAACCCGCAAATCATTTTGCCCGTGGCTCGTATAAATCCTTGATTTATATATATATATACACGGTATAATATGGTATAAGATGGGACACAGTGTGCAACTGGGCTACAGAGCAAGTATATTTGCTATTGGTTGATTCAGTGCACCATTTGTGCATACCACACTCCAAGAACTGTCTACGTTGATAGATTCCACTTGCTTCTTGCGGTGCTTTGTCAAGTGCTTTGGAGACATTCGTGGGACACCGCAAACAATCGCAAAGAGGGCGCTGAAACAAGGATATGCGGGCTGCTCACTAAGGTGTATTGTGTACATGTATTTACCAAAAAAGAACCACTCTCACAATGGCAAGCGGGAACAATCTACTTTCTCCAGCATCAACGTTTCAAGGCGGCGTTCACATTCACAAACACGTCTATAAAAGCCAGATGTGGTGGAAAGCATAGGTTGGACAAGCCGTGTGATTCAAGAAGAAACATGCATTGGCTGGAAACTCGCAAACAAGATAGGTAGGGTGCAAAGAAGACCACTAGGAACAAATCGATAGTTTGTGTGTGTAAACAAAACAGACAATGTTCATCTAAATCCAATTCTTCGTTTGCCAACAAGTGATTGTAGTCGCTCTTGGATCCTATTGATTTCAAGTATTCAAGGCCAGGCCCTGTTTCAACCACGCTGGGTTGCTGTAGCAGTCAACTTGGGACATTGCAAAGTCAGGTCCAGGCATCAGGCAATTTGATTCCGAAATTCGCTCCTGGAGAAAGGAAACTAACAGATTCTCCAGCTTACTCTTGTGAACACTTCTGACGCAGTCCAAACAAGGGCAGTTTCATTTCTCGGGAAAGCAGCGGTGAGAAACGTCCCGCACTGTTTCCTGCTGAGTTATGTATGTATCCATGAGGCAAGCAAAAACTGGCCTTGCCAGCTGATCATCACAGAAAAAGTGAGCTGCCCGTGAGAAGTTTGGTAGAAATGCACCGCCTCGTGAGTTTGATTCGTGTCAGCATTTTCACATTTGCGACATTGACTCTGCCATTGAGGGCAGCCATCATGTCTGCTCAAGTAGGTGCAGATTTCCTCGGGGCTGGATGTTTATTCAACCCTCCAACAGTTTTTTTCAACCCTAACCTTTTTTTTCAACCCTCCAAGACGCTTTTTCAACCCTGGGTTGGAAAAAATGTAACCCCTACTAAAACAACCCATGGTCCTTATATTCCAACCTTTTTTTTCACCCTGGAAACATATTTTTTCCACCCTTGAACATTTTTTTCCAACCCATAAACATGCTATTTCAACCCTATGACACGCTATTCTAACCCTAGGTCGCACCGTGGGGGGCTGGCCCTTCAGTCCTAGGATGTAGACGCCTTCGTCGGAAGCTCGAATGATTCGGCCGCCCTATTCTGCTATCGCTGCTGGTCTTTCTCCACCGTCTTCCTTTTGCTTTGGCCTTGCTGGCTGGCTGCTGCCAACCTCCACCTGCAGCTTCCGCTGCTGCCGCTGGTGCTGCTGCTTACTGCTTTGCTGTGCTGCAGCCGCTGCTGCTACCGCTGCTGCCGCCGCCGCTGTTGCCGCTGTTTGTGCCGGCGCTTCCTTTTTGCTTAGCTGTTGCTGCTCTGCTGGTTTGGATGCGCGCTCGTGCTCAGAAAGAGTCGGCAGCGCACGCAACATCGCCGCTCCGGGCGACATGTTCCCAGAACAAATATGCTTGGTCAATGGTCACAACAGACCGAGCCCTCTGAAATCCCGAATATCATGGCTACTATGCACGCCCCCTACACCCAGGCCCCCCCTGTTGAAACCTATGTTCAGACATTAGTAAGGCCTAAGCAGGCTTCAAACCTCAGTTTCTACTCGGCAGGCGCTCAGCACAGCATGGAACTCTTACTGGGATGCTGTTCTCCTTCAGTGAGGTTTTGGTCTTGTTTCGGTCCTTTGCTAAGACCTCGGTCTTGTTTTCTTGTTAAGACCTCCATTGGCCAGCGTACATGAACATGTCGTGAAACTGTGCTTGTCTGGCAGTGGCTGCTGGCTCTGGCTAGCCACAGTAAACATACAAGCAAACAAGTTCGTCCAGATTTGCTAGCAAAGTTGCAGTGCAGTGCATAGTTCACACCTTGGAACATTAGACTCTATATATAGGGTTTAACTTGACTCACCCTTTTGTGGGCAAGGCAGGGGTAAAATTTAGAGAAGGATGTTGCTC